GTTAAGTGGTAATACCTGCAAAGGAAGATCTTGATGCTGCGCATCTCACTGAGGACATATTAGTGCAATGAAAAACAATTAGTGCAATGAAAAAGTGCTAATGCTGCTACTGTATAAGAGCCGAATTATTTTTAATCACATACTAATTGATGTCATCAGAGTGGTGTATTTAACTGCACTTCGGTATTTCTGCTAGTGTGCCTCTAGGACAGAGTCAGTCCAGCTGTCCATCACACAAGACAGTGAGTTGGATCAAATGCAGAATTTCTGCTTGCACTAGAGCTGTTGCGGTAGTGGAAATGCAAGAAAAAGGCTGTGTAATGATTTCATGTTTAACTGTGTGTGTGTGACTTTAAAAGTTTGGATGCATGGCTGTATGATAGTCTAGAGTAGTGGAAACAAGCAAGTGGTGTGATTGGTGAGTGACAGAGAGGGGGAGGGGTTTTGGAAGTGATGCTGTGTGGATTATATTTATGTCTATCAGGAGTGACAGTTGGAGGTTTGGACAGCTGGAGTGTGACAGTTGAATAAGACAGTAGTCAAGTTCTGAGTTCTGTGAGAGTTAAGTTCTGTCTCTGAGAGAAGAAGGACGCATCCCTGTGTGGGATAATTTGGTTCTGTGTAGTAAAAGAGTTAAGCAGTTTGTTCGTTTTAAGGTCTGAGAGAGAGAAGTCTTGTGTGTGTTATGAAAAGTTGAAGTATAAAGAAACAGTAACCGTATATGGCCTGTAGAAGAAAAAAGTGTTACAAAGTTACATGCCCAGATCCCTGACAGTGGGAGAGAAAAGTGTGTGAAATATCAATAAATCTACTTTTATTTAAGATACCAGTTCTGAAAGAAATTCTTCCCAGGAAACACATAGACCCTCGTGAACGCCTAAACCCTCGACTTACCTACCCAGTGACAGAAATATTATATTATAGAGGTTTGGAAAGCCTTAAATTTCCTGGTGGCAGCTGGAATACCCAGTAAAATAAAATAAAAGGAACACTTTTAAAGTAAAACCAGACCTCCCCAGTTAAGGGGTCGTCACAGGCTGTGTCAACCACTTGAACTAATTCAGGCTTAGAGCCAAACTACATGTTACTCTTTTAAAAGAGCTGGGTCCAGGTTCTCAACACCACCACACCAAAATTGAGGTAATAACCCCCCCCAATTTTTTTTTTGCATGGCGAAACAGCTGGGGAGGAAGACAGGAGCACTTCCTCCCTCTTGTGGCACTGTTCCAAGTCCATTTGGGCTCTCTTTTTTAAAAAAGAAGCCATTCCCTGCAGCTGCTGCGTGGCTGTAGGAAATATGAGTAGGGTCTGAGGTCAGGGGAACACCATAAGATAGGCTGGTATTATTCTCCCCAAGATGAAGGCCACCTAGTTGAGTTTGTGACAGAAATAAGATCTGAAACAGAGACTTCCTCATCCACTGCTTAGTTTCTTGACTACTGCACTATTCTAGTCATTGAGTATAGCCTGGCTCTTTGTCATGGTGTGAAGGGGAAATGCCGTCTCTGAATGTGCAAGGGATGTGTACCAAACATTGAATCAAACATTCACAATCCATATTCCTCTGCCTTATTCTAAAGGGGGCAGTCATCTGTATTACTAACTGCACATAGGACAGCAAAGGGTGTGTTGTTAACCATTGTTTCTGTTACTCTGTATATCAGAAGAACATAATGGAATCCCTAGCTGGTCTTCAGTATAGGTAGTTAAATCAGCTCACACTCCACGTGACCAGCTGAATTAATTTCCTTGAGTATGGCTACACTGATCTCTAGAGAGGATGACATATTTTCTCAGATTTCTTTTTTAAAATTTTAAGTTGTATTTTGTTTTGGAAATAATGTTATATTTGTTACATGTCACTATGGTAGCCCTATTCAGATGCAAGCCCTTCTGAGAGAACTAGTAATTTTGTAGTTCAAAACAGGGTTCTCTCTGCTGTGGCCCCTCACTTACGGACCGTTCTCTGCATCTCTTTGCCTGGTGCCTACTCTTTCAAGGTTTAGCCTGTGGTGAAGAGAAGGTAGGTTTTTCTTCCTCCTTAATCCTCCCAGGATTAAATCTGTCGGATGGTTTTTGTTTCTCTGTTTTTTTGGGTGGGGGTCACTTTCACTCTACTTCTGTGCTTACTGTTGTGGTTTTTATGCTGAAGTTTGACGTTATCCATTTATATTTTAATTTTAGTTTTACATAGCTTCCTAATTGTATTTGGAAGATGCTACAAGAGTGGCATATAAGTGTTTTAAACAATAATCACAATCATACTAATAATTCTTGCAAACCCTCATTTCAGGAAGCCTCAGCACCATGCATTTCTATTGTTGCTGTCCCTCTCTGTGCACACACATTTCTTTATTTTCCCTAATTGTGTTTATAGGGAGATGAGAAAAATGTTCGGCTTCCTCAATCCCAAGACTGATGCCAACAGCTTCTGGCCAGGACATCTTCTAGACAAACTGCGGCTGTACCTACCCCAGATGGAACGCGATGAAGGAGAAGCTCTGTTTAGCCATGTTTCTCGTACACACCCTGTCTATCCTTGCATCTATCATCCTCACCGCAGCTGGCCAATCAGTGACCTGAAGTTTGTGACCTATGGTGATCCAAATTCCCGAAAGGAATATTATTATATTTGACACCGTTCTGAGGAGAAACCATTGCACAGTGCTAACATTTCATCAACTGTTGGTGACCCCAACAGTGCTAACATTTCATCAACTGTTGGTGACCGCTGCAATAAGCCATTGTCCTACCAAAACAAAAGACATTGTAAAAAATTGCTGTGGTAATATATGGTAACTATGTGATTTGGCAAGAAGGGCTTTCCCAGATGATCAGTCAGGTGTGTCACGATCACAGATTACAATTTGCCCATTAATCCTCTAGGATCTCCATAGAACTGTCTGGTATGTGATTTGTATGCAGGTCCCAGACTCAGTTCCTGGCCTCTCCCACTTAAAGAATTCCCTTATAGTTTTCATAATTAGTAACAGTTGATTCTCCCTGTCCTTTGTGCATTTCTTTAATCCTGTCTTAAAACCACTTAACTGGCTTTAGAAGGACATCACCATACCTTGTTCCAATAAGTTCCAGAATTATGACGTGTGAAAAGAAATACTTGCTTTTGACCATCCTGAAGCTATTAACAATCCATTTAGTAGGGTGACCCTGAGTTTTCAATTCCACCCACCTTTTTCTAAACAATGTCCTTGTGAAGGAATGCATTCTTTCTTTGTACGTTTGAAACGAGAATGCGTTTTAAAAGTTTTTTCCCCCTTCTGGACAGAAAGCAAGACAGGAGGGGGGAGGTCACTCAGTGGCTTTCCAGACTGACCTCAGCTACCTCTTAAGAAATGCTAATAGATCTAGCAGGAGAGAGAATTTTTATTTATTTTATTTATTTATATTTACATTTATATCCCGCCCTATCCCGAAGGCTCAGGGCGGCTAACAGGGGCACCAAGTGCCAGGTAAAACAATATCATAGAGTTTAAAACAAGAACATATAATTAAAACAATCACATATAGTTTAAAACCATAAATTACAATCAGATATAGCAATATACAGCAAACTTCAGCAAGAGGGAAGATCTTAACCTCACCTAGCTACCGACAGTCTCATACTCAAAGCCGTTTCCAGTGCCACGATCCACCCCCAGGGGGCGAGACAATCAGATGTTAAATTCGCTAGGGCATAGGGATGCAGATGGAATGATGACGGCGGCGGCTCCTATCCAAAGGCCTGGCGGAAGAGCTCCGTCTTGCAGGCCCTGCGGAACTGAGAAAGGTCCCGCAGGGCCCGGATCTCCTCCGGGAGCTCTTTCCACCAGGTAGGAGCC